TCCTCTTTACATTTTTTTTTTTTTTTTTTTTTTGGGTGTACGGGACAAGTAACAAAATAAAAAGCTTTTCGCGCTCACGTTTTGGGCTTAACTAAATACACGCACTTCGCACATACGTACGGACAGATACACAATAAGCACATTTTTCTGGGGCGCAATTTGCGAAATGTAAATCGTGGAATATTAAGCGCAGGTTTTTACCTTCACGCATGCTTCCTTAACAGCAAGTTGCCAAGCTGGAAAAAACAAAATAATAATAATAAAATAAAATACAAATGTTATCGTTAAAAATGTTCAATACTTTTCCACCCTTTCATGTTCACATATGTTAGCAAAAAAAATAAAAATATTCTTTTTTTTTTTTTTTTTTTTTAAATAATTTACAAAAAAAATAAAATAAAATAATGCGCACTGTACCTTATTACATTTTTTTCGCATCCTTGTAAAATATATTGGTAAGCACGCCCTGTGTTTGTATGAATTTTTCGAGCCACAATCGCAGCATATACACAGTGGCACACTGCGTAATTTACATACCAGTTGCGCGTATTTTTCCCGCGCTGGGCTTACTCAGAAAAAATGTGCCCAAAAAATTGCACAGGAGCTGTGCACAGCATTCGTTTCCCTAACAAGTAACGCAAAAAGTACCGCGGAGAATTGCGCAAAGGGAGGGAAAATACACATGTCCAGGGGTGAACCTTCACTCTGTACACCTTAGTTCTGTGTGTCTCTTCGCGCGGTGATCGTCCAGAGGCCCACTCCCGAAAGCGTTCGCCCAGTTCGCAAAAGTAAAAACTGTAACAATAACAAACGTCGCATTATTGCCACCACACAGTTTTAAACAATATCAAAATGGATTACCAAGGAGACATCATTGATGAGGACAGCATGACCCCTAGGGTCTTTGATCGAACGAAAAAAAGCATGGCCATGAAGAACTTCAATATGAACAACAACGAGGTGGAGAATAGCCCAAGTAAAAAACAAACAAACAGAAAAAAGTCCAGAAGTTTTAACATGGAGGAAGAGGGTAACAGATCTATTACCAAAATTAAGCGAGTCAAAAAAGACATTACAAAAACGGGATACGATTATAACAATATGCAGAATATGGAAGGAATGTACAAAAATGAAAGCCCACGTACAGGAGGGGACAAAACGAATAGTTTGGACAACACAGGCACGAATTGTCGCTTCACAAACAACACGGTGGAAAAAAGCGAATCTTCCTTTATGAATAACGGATGGCAAACCCCAAAAAAGAGCAACGTAGGAATGTACTATTCTGGTATTGATAATCCATCTACATTGAAAAAGTATAAAACGCCTTGTGAAATGGATATGATAAACCCAGATGAAAGTTTAATAGGTAATAAATGTATTACTATTAACAATTATGTGAACCCTCCAAAATATGTAGCCCCTGTTGTCACCCCTAGCAAATTCCCCCTATCAGGGGAAAATAATCCACACATGACATATGACGACTTCCGTTGCCTTTTCAAGCACAAAGCGTGCATCATAAGCGAGCACGAATTTAATAGTAAAAAAAATTCCAATCAAATTGATAATTATGAAAATAAGTACATAGACTGTTTCACGTCCAACTATGAAAACAACTCTTGGCCAAATAAGAAGGAAGTCTTATCTCCATCCATAAGAAGGTCAAATACCAAAATGTTAAGCATCAGTAAGGAATCCCCTAGAACTAGAAAGAAGAAGGTGGAAAATGGGGCCAAGGTGAACACCAAGAAGCTGCTCAACATATTGGGCGAGTGTAGTAAGAATAAGGGCGACAAGGAAAATGGAGTTAACAGTGGTGCCAGCGCAAATAGCGGTAGAAGTGGGCAGGGCGGTAAGAACGTGCACAGCGGACAAAGTGCAAACAGCGCCTACAGCACAAGCACCAATAGCACTAGTACCAATAGCCCAACCAAGAGTGATCAAAAAAATAACAGGGGCCAGCACCACGCACAGCGAGAAGAAGACAACACGCCCACAGAATGGATCGACTACGAAGTCAATCCCGTTATTATAAAAGGCAGCAATAGAGCCGAAAGAAACGCTGCATCTATGGACCAAATGTCCAAACAAAAGCAGAACCCATTAACCCCAATTTATGAACCCTATTCAAAAGATCTAGACACCTTATTTGATATAAGTCAGATTGAAACCCCAGCCATTTTACTAGCCATATACCGAGGTTTGTTAGTTTCCGTGTCGAGAAGAAACCAAATGAATGTACCCGCCTTTTATCAGCTGGTCAAAAAAGAAGTGATAAGGTTAAGTAACTGCCAATCGTTTAGCATAGAATTATTGAAGCAACTCGCATGGATAGCACCCAATTTGATACAGCTAAATAAGGTAGTCATAACGAAGGAAATTTTTGAAGCAAATCAAGAAGCCTACCCCGAGTTTGTCACAGGAAGGAAGGTAGAAGATATTCAAATAAGAGAACATACAGATGCGTGCGACAATATATATAAGTATAGCCCATCTGACAAACTAGAAATGTTAAAGAGAATCATCATTAATTGGGTTAATGTGAAGCACAATGAATTGTTGAAAGGAATTAACCCTAATTTTTATTGCCCCAAATATTCTGAACTTAAAAAATGGCATTCAAAGTTTAATTTTAAAGACATCTCATTCCCATCTGTTACGTTGGAGGAGAATAAAATTCTGGCCCAACTAGCACAGACTCCTCAAGAGAGCAATGCTGATGACTTCATTGTTATACAGGACAGCCCCATAAAGTGTGCTACCAATGACTTTAGAAATAATGGAACTTTTGTAAAAGATATTATGAAAGAGAAAACGAGAACTCCTTTGGGAAGAAATAGAAGAAGATCAAACTTCCTCGGTGGGGGAAGTCCATTCGCTAGCTCATTTAACAATCATAACAACAACAATATGGGGGACTCTCCAAGGAAAAAAGAAACAAATAACATGAAACAGATAAGGGAAGAAGCAAACAAGAAAAATATAATAAAAGAAATTAAAACAAAATTTGATAAAGAACATGAAACAGTATTAAATGAAAAAAAAAAATTGGAAGATGCAACATGGATTGCAGAAATTATTCATGACACATTTATAGTAGAAGGAACACAAACAGTGATAGAAATAAACTCCTTCTCCAAAAAAGTTGCAGACAAGTATAAAACGAATAAAGGTTTCCAAATGGATGAGGCCAAAATAGCACAGCTTATAGAAATGCTACCACATTATGTATCGGATATTAACTTAAAGCCTAGTATGATGGACAGAAATAAAATGACCTTGTCAGTCAAATGTAACAAAAATCTTGGAACCTTTCTCGAGCCACTTAGCAACAAAATTAATGACCTTTCTCGCAAGTACCAAGAGTTGAAAAAAAATAAAGAAAAGAGATTAAACGAGTTATGGAAACAGCACAACGTAGGGTTTGAGCTCACCGATAATATCAAGAAGTTCTTTTTAAACCCCAGTTCGGTTTGCTTCTCAGACATTTAAGATGGTGCATTTTGTTGCTGTCACCTGTGTCATCTGCACGTAGCACCTTCACCCGTCTCTGTTCCCATTTATCGTTGTGTGCTCTGTCATCCCTGTCTCATTCTTCTCCATCCTCGTTGTGCGCGACTCACTTCCGGATGCCTCTTCCTATTGTTCAATTTTTTGTAACAACCCAAGCGGATTATATCTGCACGCGTGCCATAAGTATATACATATACTTGTATATAGTATGCACTCTTGCAAAGACGCTGGTTTTTTTACGCGGGGAGTGTTTTTTACGAGTGCTCCCCAGCCATGATTAACGCTCCCCTAATGTAGGTTTCCATTCGTGTAGCATACTCAAATGTGTGCACAACAAGTGATGCCCTGTAACTTTTTTTTCGCCTCTTTTTTTTTTTTTTTTTTTTTTTTTTTCGATCTCCTCCACATGTTATTTTCATAACGCAAAATGTAGTAATATTTGTGCAGAACTGATATGTTACATCACACCTGTTTGTTTACGTGCCTGCCGCGCGCCAGCGCATATGTCATCGTTTCACTTCTATCCATTCATGTGTACGCTAATGTGTGTACTCGAACGGGACAATTTTTTTGGAAGAGGTCCCCTTCTCGCTATTCATCTCATTTATACTGTCTGCGCTTTTGCGCAACTCGTAATTTTCCCATTTTCCCTCTTTCCTTGTGTGTTTTTCCCCCACATGCCCTTCGCGCACATGCGTTTGAAGCAAAACCCCTTTCAACCTTCAGATACGCGTTGCATAACCGATGTATCTAAGTATTCCCCCCGTTTGGTTATCACCACGTTGTGGTGCAGTATAATATTTCCCTACTCGAGTGTCACATGTTGAGAGGACAGCGAACGAATTGAACGAGTCAAAATGATCTGAGCCAGCGACATGCATGGATATACGTAGGTGCAAATATACATATACATCTGCACATGGAAGCGTTGTGTAGTGTGCGTGTCTTTCCCATCTTTTTAGTACACATTTATGTTTCATGTAAGTTTGCTCCCAGCTTCGGACATGCGCTAGGTGGCAGGTGATGTCTGTAGCCCAAAGTTAGCAGAAGAGCTTTAAACAGTTATGCTCAGTCGTACGTGCACGTGAGCTCGTATTCTCACATATGCACGCACCTATATACATAGAAATGCTCTTCCGTACACATGAGCTGCCCACTGTCCACATGACTATCATCTCTATGTGTAGCGTTATTAATTTTTTTTTTTTCATTTCCTTCCTCCTTACGTTCATCCTTTTTCCCGTCCTTCCTCCTTTTTTTTTTTTGGAATGCGTAAAATGCAATTCAAGAAATGTTTTTTTTTTCCTTTTTTTTGTTTGTAAACATAATGTAAAACAACATATACATTTTTATAAATATAAATATACAGATCTATATTTACATATGCATATGTGTAGGTGCAACGAAAACAATATTTGCACTGATCTGCTTTTTCCCCATCTGTTGTTTCAAGAGGTGTTTTATTTTTATTTTTTTTCTTCCCAATGACGATTAAAAATGTGCTTTCCCCCAATGTGACATAACTCTTAGTTATAACAAACTGGTTAAAAAAATACCTTTTATTTGGTAGCTAGTTCTTTTTTTTTCTTTTTTTTGCTTACCAGTTGGAGTGGCAGAATGCAGGAAAGAATTAAAACTGTGCTACACAAAATTGTGTGTACAGAAAATAGTGTCTATGGGGCAAATTAGCGGCCAATTTTTTTTACCCCTGTCTATTCCTGCCCTGTTGTCTTAATAAAAATAACAAAAATGTAATCTTTTCAAAGATTAAGGTACGTTTAACTTTGTAAAAAAAAAAAAAAAAAACATTCAGAATGTACAAACATGTGGGTTGAAAAAATGCAGTGCATTTTGTTAAAAGCATGAATTTGAAAATGTTTTAAAAATGATAACAACAAACAAGAGGAGTCATAGGAGGCAATGCTGCGCTGCCTGGGGGCGAAAACATGATGATTTGAAAACAAACAAGTGAGTGCATGTGTGAGGGGGGGGAACACCGGTACGTATACATGTACTTGTAATGCTTGTGTACAGATTGCACGCACTGTTTAGCAAAATTTTGAACAAACATGCAAATGCGGGGAGTATGCCCTGCATGCGCAAACGGCGCGCGCACAGAGCTTAATTAATTTTAATTTGGTACGCGTAGACAGGCGGGGGAAGCCAAATGGGTAGTTACAAATGGGGCAATAATAGGCAATCATTAGGCCTATTTTTATTTATTTGTTTACCATGCCTATGGCACTGCATGCTCCTTTTGTGAGCACCTTAAAGGGGAGAAGCCGGACGCGTGGTCACCGCTCCCACTTTGGTTTCTTCTTACAGTGAGGAAAAATCACAGAGTTGGGAGAGGGTACTAATTAGAAGGCTTCCTACACTTGCGCTGCATCGACACTATGAACCTTCCAGAACATGGTGTAAACGTTTGCAAGTCGTATGAAATGAGAAAAAAATCATCATGCTTTAGTATGGCAATTTCTTCTTCCAAATTATCCAACTGCACTGGTAGGAGAAATACCAACATGCCGTTATCAACCAGCGTAATGGAAGCAATGTTGAGCAAATCCTTCACCGCTTCTGTGCAGCTGTACGTGACCGTTTTTGTAGTCATAAAAGATTTTACTCTTTTATGATCTACACTGTCGCACTGGGGAGTTAATCCTGCTCCATCCTTATCGCTAATGTCGCAGTTGTCGTGGTTATCTGGGCTTTCGCTTCCATCACTGCTATGGCCTGCGGGGAGGGTAACCGCATTCGCTGGGGTCCTGTCCTCGGTAGATCCCCCTGCCTGGGCATGTTTGAGGCATATGCGGACGGTGGCCCTGTTACCATACGGCGGATCAGTAACGATGGCATCAACCCAGGGTTTGTGAAAGGCATTCCAAACGGGCTTCGAATTATCAGACACGAGAATTTCCGGAAGGCTCAAATCATAATGCAAAAAATTTTCAAAAATATTTTTATTTGTACTTTTATGCTGCATATGAGGATTTAAGTAGGCAATTTTATATCCCTTCAGTAACCTTATGTCTATGTCATTGCCTACACATATAGCGTTAAAAATGGAGGACGTGATTAGTAGCCCCCCCGACCCAACGAAGGGATCCAACACAATTTGTCCTGCCTTAATTTTTGCAATGTTACACATCAGGAAGGCTAATTCGTTATCAGTAGTGGTTGGGCCTAAAACGGGTCTTTTGTTTAAAGAGTAATGTATCCACCATGCTAGTTGCGTCTTTTTGGTTCTTACATCATTTATCATGTGACCTTCGTCGTTTCTTTTATACACTAAAGTTTTGTTGTTCTTTCGTAGGGCCATGGATTTCCCAAAATATATTTTTTTTAAAATTCCGAGGTTGTTTTGATCATATTCTTCTAGAAGGCCTAATTCTACTTCAGGGGACGACAAATCGACTTTAGGGTATTTGTCAAGGATGACTTTAAAATGTTCCATTTTTTTTACTTTATCATATTGACTGACCATTTTCCCAAATGAATTAAAATGAAAACGCCATTTTTTATCCTCCAAATTGGTACAAAATAAATGCAGCTTCTTTAGTAAGTCATTTAATACGTCATCGTATGTTGACCCTTCACTCCAAATTTGTATAATACCCTTTATTAAAACGCTTCTCGAAATTACACTCTTCCAATCTATATCTTCTGGCAGGTTCACCTTAACAAACACTTCACCCTTGTGCTTGTTCGTATCATTGAGCAGTCCTTCTCCCTCATCTTTGTATCCAAATATATGCAGCAGCGATGTTAATTCCGTAATCTTGCATTCATCATATTTGTTGTGGCTACTGAACCATATGAGATGCAACATGGTGAGCTATTTACAACAGGGGGGGGGGGTTACTTTATGATTGGCGCGATACACGGCTCGTACATGCAAATCATGTTCCGCTCTTTTTGTCGACTGAAGGGGCAGAATTGTAATTGACGCAGAGAAGCACGGCGAGCCGCAAGCAAACAAAAGCGCAATTGGCGCACAGGCGAGCTGTACAACTGAATTGTCAAACAGATTTTAATTAACCAAGGTGGGAAAAATTAAAAAAAAAAAAAATAAAATAAGTCAGCTAATTAATTCTTGCAACAGGAGGGTTGCAAAGTGCCAGATAAACACATAATTTTGGAATCATTGCGGCGAGAGCATAACTCTCAAGGCAAGGTTTCAATTTTAAAAGGGGCAAACAAGAGCAGGGAAACGCAGGAACGATCAAAACAAATCCGTTGCATAATCTGCGCGCGTGAACGCCGTGTTCTGGCCCTATCCCCTGCGCACAGAGCGAATCGTAATGCTCTAAAATTTGAATGTATACGTGCGTAATTTTGCATACCACTCGGTAAAAAAAAAAAAAAAAATTCCCACAGCGCAAAGCCTCGCTGCTACTGTCGCTATCAAGGTGTTAATAGCAGCCTTGCAATTTAACGCTACATGTATGCTTACACATATTGCATACGCGTATGTAATATACTTATGTATACATCCGTATGTAAATAATTATACATGTTTATATATATATTATCCGTGCTGTGTGCGTGCGATCCAATGTACGTGCTTAAGTGCATTTCAACGCGTGCGCGCCCCTTGAGAACGCCCAGTGCACGTGCCATTGTATACACGCCCAATGTATCATGCATCTTACTCTGCGCATGTGCATATGAAAACAAGTCTCTGGACATGGTGGCAATGTTGTAATTTCGCACATATATAATGTTCCGGTTAAGCACTTGCGAATTTTTTCGCATTAGCCTTGTTTTTTTTTTTTTTTTTTTTTTTTTTTAAATTAAAATTTTATTTCTTCTTACATTTTTGTGTTGCTTCTTTTCCGGTTTTTAATATTATTCGTTCCCTTTTTCTTGTTAACCCACAGGATGCGATAAAATAATGCACACATGCATTTTGATTAAAAAAAAAAATGAGAAAGCATCAGTAAACGACAAGGTTTAAAATGTAATGTGAAATTATGGCGTAAATGGGTGGGGGGAAAAGCCCCATGCTTGTTTCTGCCAACCTTGACCAAGCAAGAGCGCGTGCTCATCATTGTATGCCTGCCTGTTACACCGATTGTATTCACCTACCTGTTACACGACCATTGTATTCACCTGCCTGTTATGCCATTATGCTCGCCTGATTATTTCGCCCAAAACTGTACACCTTCGTATGTGTACATACAAAGCATCCCCATATGCGTACACGTGTGCCAAAAAATTTATTTTTGCTCTCACGCCTTAAAATACGCTTAACACATTGGAACTCGATAAGCGCAAAAATAAATTTTGATTATTTTTACGAATGTACAAAATTTATGCGTCACTGTTAGATTAAATTAAATGCCCAATATCGAGAGAGCGCATGACCATGACACAAAGAACAAAAAAAAAACAATGCTTGTGAATGCCGCTTAACCCTTTACTCGTTTTTGCTTGTATGTACATACACAAACGCATAAGTCCGCAAATGGTTAACCACACGAAATGGTTAACACTTGAGTGAGTCAGCACAGCCACGCGAACGCGCAAGTGAGCCAGTGGCCACTTTTCTCAAAGGCGCAATTGATCGTCGGAGTGACGCCCGTTGAGATTTTCCCAACCGAGTGTTCCCTGGACCGAGTACACACCAAGCCAACTTCACAAATGTCCTGCCGCCCATGCATACCATTGTGAGGCCACCATGAGAAAGGAAACAATTTATGTGTACGTGGTACCAGGAATAAGTGGACATGTGTGACCATATTCGAATTTCATTACCGTGACATATAAACAAGGCCCGCTGTTACATATGTGCTGCTAAAAAGTTTATTGTGTAAAAGTTGGTGGATCAAATGATACCACCAACGTCTCTCGATTGAAAGCATCTGTACATAACTGCATGCTACACGAGTACATACACACACATATTTGCATTTGCCTTTTCTCTGCTTCGTATATTTTGTGGCATAACCTTCCCCCCACCCCACCCCACACATTTTTTCCCCCCCCTACGACTACTTTTTTTGTTGTTTGTCCAATGATGATATAATAAAATGTAGCCATTGTTTATGTACACTTACATAATTAACATTTTTTTTTTTTTTTCGCATTTTAAAAATATATATGTTTAGGGACCTCATCTCCCAACGAGATATTGTAATGCCAAGTAACATAATGTGCTGTTTTTAATTACACAGTTTAATTTGTATGCACCATTTTCCACTCATTCGCTGGCCCCCACACCTTCCCCTTCTTGCCTTCTTTTTTTTTATTTCATTTTTTTTTTTTTTTGTTCACCTGTCATATTTTGCAACTTGGCATATTTGAAACCACATTTTTTTTTTTTTTTTTTAAACTTGGATATAGTCCAGCGTAATTACGCGAACGCTGCATCGAGCGAGGTGTTATGTATGCTCGTATGCACTTGGCATTTCGAATGTATTCTTTTCCCCACCCCCATCATTATCACCACCACGAGCACCTTCATGTGTACATTTGTGCGCCCGTGCACAGTTTGCAGTATACATTTTTGTGAAGATTCTTGGAAGCATTTAAGTGTATGTATGCACGGTTGTGTTCTCATAAAAAGTCAGTTGCGAACATGAACCATCGCAAGCACAGCTAAAATGCGCATATGTGTATGTACACTTACGTTCATTAGCTGGTATATTTTACCCTTACACACGTAAGTACGGACTTGCATACAAAATACGCCTCCTCCACCCACACACACATACCTGCACAGATTTATGTGCGCCCGTGCGAATACATACCCATGTGTATTTAATCGATCACGTACATACATTTTGGAGGCGTATTCTGATGCATACGTGACTTTTATGCTTACACGAATTCATGCGCGTCCCTGTTCATTCGAATACGTATGCGTATGCCAGTGCATACATTGCGAGTCGTGTGTTTTACCGGAAGGCATAGTAGCACTCCTTTGCTTATGTGTAAGCATACGGGCACTTTTCTGCCGAATGTGTAAACCTTCAAGTGTATGTGAAAGTATCTCCACCCGTGTGTGTATGCAAATGCAAATGCATTAGGATGCGTAAGGACGAAAAGATATGCTGTGTAATGTGTAGTGTGTATGCCCCCCTCAAGTGTTAAGTGTTGAAAATACCTGCACCATGCTGAAGGCTGTATGTATGCACTTATAATTTTGATTGTCATGCTAAGCACGAAAGGGAAAAAGTGACCAGCAGCAGCGATATATATATATGTAAATATATATATGTAAATGTATATATAAATATATATATATATAAATAGAAAAATCGAAGAGGACGAAAAAACCAATCAGGTCAACACGAACGATTGCATATCATTTGTGCTCTTTTTCCTTTTTTTTTTTCTTTTTTTGGTGAAAATAATCATATGAACAAAAAATACATCACATGACATTTATTTAAATTTGCACCCTTTTAACATGTACATATGTATGCACTTTTATGTACTGAGCATATTTGTATTTATTTATGTATGAATGGAATTATGTTCCCCTGTCTCTCTCTTTCTTTCTCTTTTTTTTTTTAAGAAATATTCTTTCCAGTCATCAGAAATGTGTACACGCACGAATTGAAAATGTTATAATATTTGTTGTTTTAAATTGTGATTTCTCCCCTTTGTCCAAACTACTAGATGTTGCTTCCCTCCTTTATTTTTTTTTTTTTTTTGTACACTTGACGTATGCCTCTCATATATGTCATTCGTACATTTTATCAATTCTCCCAACCCCATTCCGTACGTTTTGCATCCAGTTTCCATCCTTTCCCTGTGCTTGCCATTCAATCATTTTTCCTTTTAAAATTTGAATTTGCATTTGCTTTGCCCATTCATTTCCCCTTTTAATTTATGTCAACTCGCGCACAGAAGCAGTAAGGCATTTTTTTCAAATCGCATTATTGCTTATTCCCCCAGCGTTATACTTTATTCCATTTCAACAATTGAAGCTTACCTTTCCCTGCTCTCCAAAGTTATATGTGAATATTGTACTGGTTGAGAGAGCATCCACGGGGATCTGCGCACGAGGTGTAAGCAAATGTGTTCATTCGTATGTGCGTGAGTGCGACCGTGTGCGCCAGTGGTACGGCAAGCGACACGGTAAACACCACGTCAAGTGTTAAGCTAGTGTGTGTGCCCAAGTGTACACGACAAGTTAGGCCAAGTGGAACATCAAGTGACGCGTCAACTTCGTGTACCCACTTACACATGGTCACACACGCGTGTTTTCCTTTTGCCTGTATGTGTAATTTTTAATTTAAGTGGAAAAGAGCGATTAAAAGGGAAAACAAGGAAAAAACAAAAAAAAGAAAGAATGTGTGAGTACCCCCTTTTTGCGTGAATTTCTTTTTCGAGTGTGTTGACAACACGCGGTGGTTGCGTAGACTTCCCATGCCGTGTTCGTACGAAGTTGTAGTAGAACAACGTTTACATTTGTTATTGCTGGAGAAACAAATCAGCTGTGGCGACAACATTCGTTCGTTGTGAGACTTCCTGTAACTTTTCATTTGTGTAAGTGAATTGATCGACACGTGCACACTACACATATATATGGTTTCTGTTTTTTTTTGCACCATTCTGTCATTACCATTTGGTTTGCTTCGTACACATCACTACGCGCGGTCGGACGCGTCTAAACTTGGTACAGTTGCTTGAATTATCTTCTCAAATTACTGCACGTTATTGATTATCCCACTTATAGCACATTAAACGTGCCCCGTGAGTTTCGCCCCCACCCTCTCCTCCCCCCATTTTTGCTGTCCACATCCGTGGAGGTGAATAAAGTAAAAAGGGAATAAAATGAATAATAATTTTCAAAATGAAAATTTCAAAGAAGACAATTATATTAAGGCCTGGATTAAGCAGTCGGAAAACCCAGAACTTTATAAAAATTGGCACGACATAGAGGAACAGAGTTACCCAAACGAACTGGTGAAGGTTGTTGACTTTAACAATTTCAATAGCAACCTTATAAATACAATTATGACTGAACATTCTGTGGAAATGTCTCAAAAAAAAAAAAAAAGAAAAGCATATAGTTTATTTTATAGTAATGAAATAAACCCTGAATATAATAACCACTCATGTAATGAGGAATACCCAAATTATTATAATAATTGTATGTATCCATCATGCGATGACAGTGACGTAAAATATTTTTCTTCGTTAGATAAAACTCCAGTTGGAGGCAGCATGACTGATAGGCCCAAGTTACAATTGAAGGATGAAAAAAAACGTATGTCCATTAAAAAAATGAAAAGGGAAAATACATGTACAGATAATAATTACAACGATATGACAATGTGTGGGAATTTTACAAACTCCTCTCCACTTATAAAATTAAAAGAATTTTCAAAACCAAGTTATGGAAGTGAAAGCACAAGTGAATTTTTTAATAATTACGAATTTGAAACCCCAATTAAAGTCCTCAGCTCCAGGAAAAAAGCATATGATTATAAAAATAAAAAAGATAATAGCACTACGAACACAACTAAAGAAAACTCCTCACAGGAAAATGCCTCATCCAATAACAGCGAAACTAAGAGGACCATCAATTTCTCTAATAAGACAGAGGATTTTAACGACCTGCATTACAACTCGGAGAACGATTACCTGACGTCTTCCGAATATGTGGACGATGATGACTCGTCCAGGTGCTCCAACAAGAAGCAGAGTGAAGTGAACTTCCTCGGTCAGCGATTGGAATATAAGGTCGTCGGCAACGTCATAAATATGTCGAAGGACCATCCGCATTTTACTATGTTGTGACAGTAGCGCAAATCGTGCAGTATAGCAACAAACGTGGCAGTATTTGGCAGCGCCGGTCTGCACCATTTGAATTTTTTTTTTTTTTTTTTCAATGCAACGGAATCGCACAAGGGAATGCGCCAAGTGCAGGCATAAAAATGGACGTAAAGGCGACGCAATAAGTGACCAAAAGATAAACAACGAGCGTGAAGAAGGGAAACACAGACAAAACAAACCCTGCGCGCTATTCCAAATGGACAAAAAAAAAATATATGTATATATATTTGTACGCTCAAACACAACTCAGATTTGCAACAATTAATTGTTTTTATGTTATCGCTAAATAATTGTATTCAAGTTCAAACGTATTGCTGTTAATTTGGGCCAAGAGGGGTAACCTGCATGCACGTACGTGCGTGCACACATATACACACCACACATATGTGTGTATGTCTGTATGCCTGTCCCCGCTGTAGGGCTCCCTTCACCCCTTGGCCTCCCTGTTTTTTTTTTTTTTTTACGTTAACAATTTATATATGGGCATATATAAATGTTAACAAAATTAAATTACAAACTTGTATGTCATAATTTATAACACAGATATGATATATGTTTTTTCCTTCCACTTCTTTTTTTTTTTTTTTTTTGCCATTTCTTTCAGTAAATTAGGATATAAAATCATTTGTTACCTTCCCCCCCTTTTTTTTTTTCATTATTTATGTGTAAATCGCCATCACGTTCTCAAAAAAAAAAAAAAAAAAAAAAAAAAAATTCATAATTTTGTTTTTTTCATTTATTTATATGCTGTTTCAATAACAACCAAAGCATAATTTAGTTATATGCATGTATGCATATACGTATATAAAAAAAATGAACAAATACATACATATATATCGCTATACATGTGTACCTTTTTTTTTTTTTTTTTTTAAATCTGACTTTTAAACAAGAAAAAAGCCTCAATTATTTATAATTTTTATGTGTGTACAGACAGAGCTGGGATAGTGCCCATTGTTATGCTAACTCTGAACAGTTCCCATTGATCCATTTTTTCGCCGTTTCTTTAACAATATAAACCGATCAGCTTCCTCAAGGGCACGCTGCTGAAATAAGCCCCAATATATATTTACCACGCACACGCACACGGGAGGGATTTCCCTTCTCCGATAATATTTTTCGAACGGCTTCGTGTAACTAGCGAACGAAGTTCATGATTGAGTTTGGCACCACGTCGTGGGCATTTCAAACCGAGTCCAGTTGGTCATCCTGTACCCTTTCTTTTTTTTTTTCTGGTTTCTCCTGAATATGGTCCACTGCAACAGCAGTTTGTCTTTTTAATTCGCCGTCGACGTGGTAAAAAGTTAGTGGTTGCGTAAGTTATGGAACAGAACTGCAGAAGCTGATTATGTAAGCTTAACTGCGTGCACTGTGGTGGCGCCACGTAAAAGGAAAAAATAATTCTATGCAACTTTATTGCGCAAGATGAGGAGAAGAATACATCCCCTCCTCAGCTATACGCAAAATGTGTGTGTCCATTTGGCTCAGTTGAGTGGACACACACAAAATAACTGCACAGTGTGACGATGCCACGACAACACGCAAGGGGGATTAAGCAACAACTGGGTAAGCGGGTTAGACCAGCGAGAGGTTCCCAGGGGATTCGCACGAAATCCCCATGGGCCCCTACAGGATTCCCACTGGGTGCCCAATTGCATTAAGCCACATAATAAAAATCAGTTCGCAGTTACATGAACCGCTGAACTCATTTTGTTCTCTTCTCTCTTTTTTTTTTTTTTTTCTTTTTTTTCTCTATCTTCTCTATAACACATTTGGTCACAGACGACGCGCACTATTCTTCTATGCTTTCTGTTGTGCGCGTCTGAAACCCTGCGTGTTATATTATGAGCTCTAATATGTGCATTTAATTATGATACGTACAAAAACATATACATATATAAAACAAGGCGCGCGCGTATGTCTCCTGACATTACACACAAAAACGAACGGGCGGGGACAAGCGGCCAATATAACAATGGTCACATATATATATTTCTGCATATATGTATATGCCTTTATTTACACTCGGACATATTTTAAGACTCTCGCCTTCGAGGTGGTTACATGAAAGGTGTGCGTGTGTAAACGAACGGGAACAGAATGGAACGAAGTGAAAAAAGCAAAGCGGACAAACACGGGTTTTCCGTTTTTGTTCTTCTCTTCTTCCCCACATGGTGTGGTTTCCCGTTTTATTTTTTCATTGATGGGTTGGTCAATGGGTTGGTTAATGGACTGGTTGGCCGGTTGATTGATTTTTTTTTTTTTTTTTTTTTTTATATATATACAATGACCTTTTCGATCATTATGAGAAATTGCAACGTTTGGGAGTATCCCAATTCCGTTTTCTCTCTCTATGTATATATATGTATATATATTTATATATTTTTTTTTGTTTCGCCGCATGCCTGAAAAATCAGATCATCTTCTGGGCCTTGAAGTAACCCCACTTTTGCACACCCTTCTTGGTGTCCTTAATCTTTCTGGTCCATCCATCCTTCAAGGAGCTATACTCCTTAATAGAGTACACCTTGGTGAACTTGTCCTTGTCTTCCTCCAATTTGTTGAGTTCCATCTGTAGTAACTGCAGCCAGTAATCGCTGATATCCTTTGACTCTACCTTTTGGAACTTGCAGGACTTAATCAAATCTGCATATTCTTGTATTGGCACAAGGGTATACTTTCTCTTCTTAACGTAGGCCTTAAACTCTTCGTCCCACTTTTCTATCTTATCCGCACAGTAGTCGGTTATTAAAAGAATTCCATTTGGCTTTAGCCACTTGTAGCATTTTTCAAATAATTTTTTCTTGTCGGCATAGGACAAATGCAAAATGGAGTCTCTGCTGTATATCATGTCAAAGGTGTTTTCTGGGAATTCTTTTTTCAGTATGTCAATGGCTTCAAATTCGATCTTTGCTTTATCCTTGTTTCTTAGCTTGGCGATGGCAACCATCTTTTCGCATATGTCCACTCCATAAACATGGCAACCGTATTTCTGATTTATGTATTTGCTTCCGCCACCCAAGCCCGAGCCGATGTCTTCAAGTGGGTACAACAATGCGTGAACAAAATGACAACAATGGGGGCGCAAAAAAAATTTACGAAAAATAGGACACAAAAAAACACACTCACATTTTCAACGCACCGACGCATGTGTATGCCACGAACAGCTTTCTTACCTAGTACTTTCGAATTTGGTTCCAAATATATGTCGCTCAAAATTTTCCTTGTTGCGATTATTCCTCCAGAAGAAATGTAATCCCTATTGGGACCACACAAAAATGCCAGCGTTACATTGTGAAGGTGAAGTGGTGATACAGTCTCACGATGCACATGTATACACACAGATGCATGGCGACATGGTCACATGAAGCACTACAGGGGGGTACAAACAGGTGCGCGTAGGCCGTGCTAAGGTGGACTAGATGCCTTATCACATTCTACACACTATCATATGATAATTTTTTTTTTTTTTTTTTTTTTTTTTTTTACTCTCCAAATATAAATTCATAGGCTTTAATTCCTACACATTTGGTCAGGGGGAACAAAAAAAAAAGGAATGTTAATATTTACATGGTCCTAAAATTCGAAATCTTATGCGTGCACATGAGTATGTGCACGTTTCACGCAATAGAACCATTTGATAATACCTTCATTAGTATATTGGTTGTTTTGGAGGTATTCCATATCCACTGATTCGGTAATCATTTTGTTGAATGAAGGCAACGAAAATGAAGCAGGGTTTTTTTTTTTTTTTTTTGTTTCTTTTAATACGTGAATACTTAGGACTCAGAAGCCAAGTGAAACTCACTACTGGGCATATATTTACGAGGGGAAAAACGATTGCGAACAAAGCCGAAAAGTGAAAAAACGATAAAGTGGAAGAACGTGAGATGAAAGCCTTTATGTGTTCGTGAAGCGTGAAAAATGTATCTCTTTTGCGTTTTCGATAAAACTGCTTGTAATTTGCTAAATGTGTGAAATAAGTTTCGAAAAAGTTTTGTGTTGGGCGATGTGTAATTGCGAAAATTTTGAATTTGAAATGTTTTTGAATTTGAAATGTTTTTTAAATTGAAATGTTTTTTAAATTTGAAATGTTTTTTAAATTTGAAATGTTTTTGAATTTGATTTTATTTTGAATTTTTTTTTTTTTTAAGTACACATTTTAATTTAATTCATTTTTTTGGCTTCCTTTTGAGCTCCTTTCTCCAGAGAGCTTTTTTTTTGAGGGGGTAGAATGAAAAGGATCATGTAATGTAGCGAATCTTTACACCTTGTGTACTGGCTAGCACATGTCTCCAGTATCACATGTGCATGCACGAAGGGGTGCGGAAGATGCATCACATATGTGTTAGGCACGTTTATATGTACATATTAGCTCAGCCGGGGAACGTCTACATACGTGCGTATGCATGTGCATCTACGTATTCTTGCTCATGAGGACATATACCCCTTAGACCTCCTCCCCCCTTTTGCTAAACACTCAAGTGTTTATTAATGTGTGCAGCACTTCTATGAAACGGGAACGTAGGGGAATCATTCTATGTTTAAACTGAGCCACCACTCTTCCACCATGTACCTGCTTTTTGGTGAAGCGGACACCCAAAACAAGGTGCACATGAGAGACTCACGAAACGCATATACATATAAAGGGTATGCCAAAGTGGAGCCATACATATGCAAGTAGCGGCATATGTTCATATGTATATTTGCATATTATATATATATTGTGCATGCTTGTACTTTTACGCACGTTTACTGTGCGCGCATCCCGAGCGCCGCAACGGATGCCCCTGCCGTTCCTCAAAAAATTATTCAAAAGTGTAAATGAACCTTTACACCTTTTTTCAGTAGACCCCTCTCCTGCATGCACATGGAGCTAAGCATATAATAAGAAACAAAAAGCTCATGCGTCCAACGCGGAAGAATGGCGAGAAACGAATTTTTACGTGATAATTCTTTTGGGTCACAAAAGGGATAAAAAAAAAAAAAAAAAAAAAAAT